GCAGAGTGCAGCTCCAAGCGCGCAGCTCAGCCGCTGCGTAAACTTTACAGCTCATCAGCTGTTACTCTTTCACCATGCCAACACGTAAAATCAATTTACACACGGATTTAACAGTCATTCATGAAATCTACGGGCCACCAGTTTGTAGTGAGTCACGTGAGGTACGTGTCACTTGTTGTATGACAAATATGAATTATATATGCATACAATATTCACGAGTTCTTCATTTTTCTGACTGTAAATGTCGTGCATTGAATTTAACAGAAATGTAACGAGAGACGTTGTTTATCTTTGACCCATCAAATGAATGGAATCATTTATTTTCAGAATCAAAGTTTAACATCAAACATTTACATTAATTTGGCAAAATATGAAAATAATAACAGACAGTTTCACAGAAAATGAACTTCAAATCACTCGGCGGTGATTTGAGGACTTTGCTTAAGATATTTCTAAAATATCTGTACTGATTTATGAGAGAGAGGTGGGTTTTAGAGTGAAAGGAGATTATCTTACAGAGAACTGTGTGAGGGAAGTTTAATCTGTTTAACCAGAAATTGCACGCTTCGTCAGATCCTCAGCTTCTCACGGTACACTTGGTCAAAATAGAACCATCTACCTGTTGACGATGAATCAGCGCTGGATGTAGTTCCTTTCTGACTCGTTTCAGCGTCTCCGTCGAGAGCTACCAAACCTTCAGAAAGTCGTGCGTTGATTAGCTCAAAACAGAATTATAATCCCAAACGTTCCTGGTTCTTCATAACTCCAAACTCTTCATAACCGGCTGCACTCTCAATCTGCTCATTCTGTTGGACTATCGGACCTGTTGTCAGCTCTCATTCCAACATCTCTCAGAACTCTCATTCTCTTGGAATTCTGGAATTCTCGAATTCTTCTCTTCTCTTCTCCTACTTGAACTGAGAAGTTGCCACATTTTATTTGGGTCGACTTCCTGTTCAATTTAGAGCTTTCTGATTCGTGGAAGGACCAGAAAGAGGAGTGGATTTGTGACGTAAGATGTTATCATAAGTCAAGGATTGTTTACAACATACAGAAAAGATTATTGCAGCAACAGCAGACTTCGTGGAGTCTCACACTTTGTAATCTTTTCAAATAGTAAAACATGACATTTTTCTCGGTAAACATTTTAGTTGACCGAAAACCAACCTTTAACATACTTACGACAGCTTGCTCATTTCAGACAGAAAATCAAGAAAGGCATATTCAGGTGATTTCTTCTCTGAATGAGGAACAAAAATCATTACTTACTGTTTATGTAAAAATAAAAATTAGTAGTTCTTTTCAACCTGTAAAGCATTGAGTGAACTAACACAATTTGATTATCAAAACATTTGTAAGACAGTAATGATTATAAAGAATTGTCTTTTCTGCTTGATTAATTCAAGAAAGAAAGTTCATCAGATGGTTCAGACTTATTCAGATCAATGAAAATAACAGTCTCTGTCCATCTGGTAGATTTGAGGTTATCTGGTTCACTACAGTGTCATCTCTGCTATCAATCTCAACAAGAAGGAAATGAGGTTTTGTATACAGAAATATTATTACAAAGCAGACAGTGATAAATGAGGCAAAGGATCGAGAGACAGGGAGAGGACTGGCTGGTAGGGTGGAGGTATGAAAGGGAAAAGGAGTCCTGTACAAGATGTGTTTTTGAAGTTCACACATTTACTCACACACAGCATTTATTCTATTTATGTTGTTGCATTTAAGTTCAGAGACTGCATGTATCGAGAGGACGATTCCATATTTGTGGTGGTGGGATCTTTTTCTTTCTGCAGTGAGAGACTTGGTAAACTTGTGTGCCCCCCACCACATGTGAGGCATTAAAAGCAAAGTTTAGTTAATATCCACCCTGGTGACCTGGATTTCAAAAGGCTGAAACGCCTTTATGGGCTTACAAGAGCTTTCCAGGCTCTGCAAAGGCAGACTAACCTCTAGTCTTTCTGCTTCCGTCTTATTTAACTGGAAACCCAGATATAGATTTGTAAGTTTGGTTTGTTAGGAATCTAGTTAAACTCAAATACTTTGTTGAAAAGAAATGCGCAGGACGCTGGAAGTGTTCTATTTTTTCAATGACGTCTTTTTAACAGCTACTTTAATTTTAAATAAAAATGAAACAAAGTATATTTTCAGTTTATAACAAGCTGCATTAGTATACAGCTGGAGTACTTAACTTTTGACCGTTTTGTCCTAAAAAATAACATGGTTTAATTTGACCTTGAGAAAATGAGACTTGTTTGAAATATCTGTGATATTTACAAACTTTTAAAAAATTCAATTTATATTACTGTGCCCGTCATTAAAATGGATCAACTGCATCATGTAAAGCATGTAAGCATGTAATTTTCAACGTTTCACAAAAAAGGGGTAGAGATGGTGTAGGGGCAGGGCAGTCGACTTGGGACCCGAAGGTCCTGGGTTCAATCCCCGGTCATTGCACGTCTCGTGGTGTCTCTGAGCAGGACACCCAATCCCAAATTGCTCCCTGGTGCTCCACCTGGATGTATCCCAGGTGCGATGAGTTAAATGCAGAGAGCCAATTTCGTCTTTGTAATGTGTGTAACTTGTGGGAACATACAATGATGACAACACATAGCACTTTATTATTATTATTAAAAAGAGCACTTGAATTTATTTTGTTTAAATTTCCTCATTTTTTTTACAACAAATTGTGACCCAAGCGTAAAAGCAATCGTGAAAATGCAAACCTTGATCGTTTAACAACAATAAAAATTTGACCTATTGTTTTAAACTATTGAACTTGAACAAGTTTGACCAAAGATCCAATGCCATGCAAGAACATTTCATTGTTTTTTTGTTTTTTTTTAAGTGATTGATGTAAGATGATCAGTCAAGTGTAGATTTCATTCAGAACTACTAAACATGCAAATGTTGAATTAACCTTTGCCTTGCAGGCGTTGTAGTCTAAACCAATTGGGTGGGGGATGGGTTATATTTCAATATTAGATTGGGTTAGTAATTTGGACCGTTAGTAGATACAAACCACTTTTCACTTTTGAGTGTTTGCCTGTTTGAAAAAGAAAGAAACTGATGGGGTAACAGTGCTGAACAGAGTGTGCTTTAGCTTACTGTACGTTGTTGTGAAGAAGGAGTTAGGGAGTAAAGCTCTGAAGCTCTGTCTGTCTTTGTGCTGGGTGATGTAATAAAGCTAGCCAAGAGGGAATTAAACAATATTTGGACAAGCCTGAGATGCTGCTTTAGAAAAAAAAAATCAAGTATCTCATAATGAACAAAATATTTCTGTATGAGATGAAAATCCTGCAAGATGCTGATTTAACAACAATGCATGTTTTCAATGCATACTCCAATAACTCCCTTAATTTAGTTTCTAACATGCAAACACAACTCATGAGTCAGACATCAGGCAAATGATCTGGCTTTGCTTTACTGAGGCAGATGGAGCTCCTTTATAATAAAGACACAAGTGTGGGGTCCAAAGAGAAATTTCAGTGCACTAATAAATGTACAAATTCCCCTAAAATTCTTTTGCACGTTCCAAATTCCTGGACCAGCTAATCTGTTACAATGCACACACCTGCTCTGGATGAGGGAGTGCGTAGTGTAAGGCGCTGATGGACAGACTACAGGGAAAACAAGGAGACATTGTTGCTGATTCTCTGAAGGTCACAGACATTACTGTGTGCCAAGTCTGGCACCAACTCACACAAGGCAGGCATGTGCAATGTATAGAGGACTAAATCAACACCTCGGTGAATGAGCTGCTGGCTTTTGATTTGGATCGGCACTTATATTCATTATGCAAGAAGAGCAAATACCGTTTTTTCCTTCCATCACAAAAACTATAACACAAAAAGTGGTTTGGCCTCCGTTTTTCCCACTCATTTTTCCTGGTGAACGTCACACAATGGGGCTTTCATCTCTCCCTTTCTCACTCTCTCTCCTCCAGATGTCAGGTACAGTGGGGGAGTCTATGCTGCTGGATGCCGTCTGACACTTTTCAAAACAACGATAACAAGCTGCATGTCTTTAGGCTGTCTACCCCAGGAGCTCCCACTGTAAGCACATGCAGTGAACGCAGCACAAACCAAACAACAAATAATTAACATCCCCTGTCCTCAGAAATATAGATGAACCATCAAACATTTTTTTCCATTACATGTGTTATTACAGCAGTGTAGCAGGGGTTAATCCCAATGAGATTGTGAACAGAATATTATAAATCATGAATAAGCTTCAAACAAAGGCATTGTCTTCAAATCTTGACCAGAGGTTCCCAAACTTTTCAATTTGCCGCCCACAAAATAAAGATTACAGAAACCCTGTGATGGATTTGTGACCTGTCCAGGGTAACCCTTCCTTTCGCACAGTGATGGCTGGACATGGGCACCAGTGACCCATAAAGGAAGAAGCGGGTAAAGATGATGGATGAAATCATATGTTTTTTGTTAAAGTGCGCAAATAAACCTTTAAATAAAGAACCGTAACACCTGTTTTATACATTTAGACATTGTTATCCATTTATGACCACTGTTTGATAACTAATTTCTCGCCATGAATGAATTGGTGTCCCTTTTTAGTAAATATTCATAATAAAAAAAAAAATCATGAAATGTAAAGCTTCACTATTCTCTTGACTTGTAAATAAAAATGCCTCGCTTTAATCTATGCCTTCAGTCCTTCTGCAGAAAAACACACTCACGATGTTGAGTATTTATTTTAAATTGAGCTGAGGAGGTCATTTGTAAATTAAAAAACAACAACAACAAACAAACAAGATGTCTTAAATGCTGATTTGAGGGAGGACAGCACACCTTCAGTTTGCTTCTGATTGAATGAAAAATATTGAATTCCTGAAGAAGTAACACACACACACACACACACACACACACTGGGTGAAGCTAAATGCTGACTTCCATTACAACCCACCTGTTAAAGGAGCATGACACCGTTTCTACAGGTTGATTATTTGACGTCATGAGTCAGAGAGTGGATCTTACTTTTCGTAGTCGTGCTTGCAGTACAGCAGGCGGTCCCTGCAGTAACAGGTCCCGCTGAGTGCGCTCAGACACACCGCGCATTTGACGCAGGTCTCGTGCCAGGAGCGCTCGTTCACGCGCAGCAGGAAGCGGTCGGCGATAGGAGACTCGCAGCCCGCGCACACCTCTCCCCCTCCTCTGTACTCTGGACCTGCAGGGGCAAATCAGCGCGCGGATATGGACAAGGCCAAAGTCAGATCTGTGCGCTCAAATAATCCTCCAACAACTCGATCAGGCACAAATCAGTTATTGCTTTATTTTATTTAAGGGTTTAAAGAGAGATGCCCCGTTGTTCCAAATGAGACAAACGTTTGTATTTCAAAATGACACTTTATTCCATTACAATCTACGTGCTTCCTGTATCATTACCATTTTAAAATATATTCAAAGATCTGCATGAAAATGGTTTGTTATAGGTAAATTAAAATCCGAAGTGACATAAAGTTAAACGCGTTAAATTGTGTGTTTATAGATGCAGTCAAAAAAAAAGTGGAATGTTTGTATTCTTCAATTTTGCCTATAAACAGTCAAATATTTCTCAAAACGTGTTAGCTTTGTTTGACATCGGATTTTTATCTCTTTTTTTATTTTTATGGCTCAGTGAATTGTTTAACTGTATAAATGCTTGTGCTAAAAATATTTGAAAATACTTTTCAAGCTATTTGGCCGAATAATATTTATTTGAAAAACACGCATTGTGACACGCGAGCACTGACCAAAAGGCGTGGAGGATGGAGGCTGCTGCAAACAGGACTGCTGGTTCTCCTCTGTTTTCATTCCTTCTCTCCTGCCCTCAGTGTGATCGCTACAAAGGAACAAAACAAAACCATTTCTTCTCAGTGTTTTGTACAAACTGTGGCAGAACCACTTGCATATAAGATACACGGTGGAAAATAAACATGAAAACCTACACTGGAAGATAAAAATATCAGTCACAACATTTATGTAACAATTTGTGCAGCCAGCTCACTGCAGATAAAAAATAATAATAATTAACACACATATGGAAATAGTTTAATTTAACAAATGTAAAAATGAATTTAATTCGTGTAAATAATATCAATAAAAACATATATTAGCCATTATTGCAAAAATAATTCTGACTAGTTGTTTGAATCGGAGCTGAATGTGCTGAGAAGTGTTTGGTTATTCAAATGTAATATTCAAATTTAAAATAGTCAATAAAAAAACAACATATTATTTTTCAATCTACTTTTTATTATATTATTTTACGACGTCAATAAAAATATTTATTAAATTTTGGTAGCGTAAACAATGTCTTTCTTTGTTTTGCTAATTTATATTAAATATCTGTAAGGTTCAATTTTATTTGTGCCAGTTAACTAATATTTTGGAAATCTGTTTACTTTAAAGCATGATGGATCAAATTAATGTAAGACATTTGTAAAAAAAAAAAAAAAAGTAAACAAAAACATTTCAAACTAAAACATTAATAAAACAAGTCGATTTTATAAATTCTATTTTATTTTATAATATGTGTAAATGTATTTAGAACAAAACAAAAATATAGAATAACAAAATGTTTATTTTAAGATGATTTAATCAATAAAAAAATCGTCTGATTATCTGAGGCAGTCTCATGCACCAAAATGATGAAATCCACAACCCCTTTCAAAAAAAGTGATAAATGAATAAATCTGGATTTTATTATTTTACTTTTGGTCTCTCAGTGGGTGAACCTGTAAATGTGTGAGCGAGAAGTCACAGAGTTTGTTACTGTTAAAAAATAAATAAAGAAATCACAGAAAACAAATTATGTAAATGAAGTTGATTTGGCAAATTTCCTAAGTGGGTTGAACAAATTGACATATTTGTGCTAATTAGCTGTCAGCCATAATATCCTGATGATTATCAAAACAAAAGTCTTTGTTTTATAGTTTTTATAAATTTCCTGGTGAAATGGACTTCACATTTGAAATAAGTGTTTCTCACACACATTAACAAGCTTCTATTTGTAGGCTTGGCGTTTAAATAAATCTAAACACAATATATCCTAATAATAATAATAATAAAATAATAATAACCTCATTGCCGCACGCCAAACTGTAATCTTAAAGATTTAGTTACAATTTTCCACAAAAAGCAAATGAATATTTAAAAGCGTGTTTGTTTTTTCAGCCCACCTGTTTAAATTGAAAATATTTCCATGAATAGTCGCGCGCTTGGCCTGATTGTAAAACAGGAGCAGACTACAAGCGCAACAAGAACCCGTTTGAAACCCTGGAGTCGCGCATCTCCCAGTTGCTTCATGGCAACCTGTTCCTGAGTCCTACCTTGACGTGAAACACACTCCTCCGGAGACCTCCGTGGGCAACATTAAAACCTGGAGAAACTTTCAGCTCGTGTGAACAGACGCGGTTAAAGATCGTCCGCATGCACCTCACAGGTCGACCCGTGTTGCTGCTATGAGGTAAAAAAATTCCAACATCATGATCCAAAGCGCGCTCTATTGTGTCTCCCGTTTTCCCCGGCAGCCGTGTGCGCGCTTTCACTTGTTTTGTGCGTAAAAGAGGCAGAGGGAGGAGATGGACTGACAAGGAGGGAGGGAGAAGGTGCGGGAAATGATGAGGGAAGATGAGTGATAAAGCAGCCTATTGATAACAGATTGGGAGGACCACTTGCATCTTGTGTTCAAGGTCAGACACTTAGAAGGACAGAGCTGAGATAAAAAAAAAATAACTTGTAATGTCTCCCCATAGAAATGCTCCTAACATCATATCACATTTAACTTCTTAATTCTGGAGATGAACGCTCAAAGAGCAAAAGCAAATCATCATTTAAATATATAAGAAAATATAGATTCACTTCACTTCTGAATAATTACAGATTAAGGGAGAAAATGGTTTGAGTAAGTCGAATGAAAAGCTACATCTAAAAAATACGGAGCTGTTAAAAAGAAATGTTTATTTTTTCTTTATTATCACGTTTGTACCTTTTCATGTTTTGTTTTTTTTCCTCACACACTAAAATATCGCCCTCTTGCGGTTAAACTGGAAAGGTGCACTGCTCACATTTAACTCATTAAGTCAAATTTGCCATGCAAATAAACAAATGAAATATAAAATAATATATCTCAAAGGTAAACCAAACATTTATTACAGATATTCACAAGGAAAATAAAAACTTTGATGATTTTGTTTAGTTTTCATCTCATTACCTCTGTGCTGTACATTCAAATACTTCATGAACTTGTCTTGTCTGGTATTTACATCATTTAACTGAATGGTTTACAGTTCAAACCTATTAAAGAAACTAATAAAGTTTTATTAGGGCATTCCAATAAGTCTAAAAACTGATCCCCCCCCCCCCCAGTGTTTGGAATGCAAGTTTTAAAGATGTAACTTTTCTAACATTTTAAACCAAATCAAATGTGTTCTAAATGAGGCGATCAGTGAGCATTAAAATGGGATGATGCATTTTATTATAGATATATATATATAAATATGCACAATTCTAATAATCGGTGTTACAGTCGCAGACTCTTGTTGTATGCAAATTCACCGCAGTGTCTAGAATTGTTATCTTTCGTTAGACAAAGAGCTGCTCCTCCTTCCCTGAGTGACTGCGTCTCAGCTTCAGACCAGACAGGATCTTCTGAGCAGGTGAGGTCAGGCTGTGCTCAAAAGGAATGTTCTTTGGCGACGAATTGAGACTGGAAATCTGTCCAGTCCAGTGTCGGTAGTTCGTATTCATGTTCTGGTCATCTTGCCACCACGTGTCTACCTCTTGAGTAGACCTCTGTGTTGTACTGGATGACATTTGGGCTGCAGGAGATGTAACTGCTGAGTCCAGTCCCAGCATGTACTCCACAACATCTCGTGGGCTTAGCGGGCCTTCCTTTATATCCTTAGCTGTAGTTGTCACCTGGCGGGGCTGCTGCGTGTTGTTCCAATGGCCATCAAAGTTTTGTGAACATGCCTGCGTCTCTGGCTCAGGAGAGGTACTGTGGCTGCTGTCCACACTCTCTTGAAAGCCCCTCTTTGGACAAGCTGCCTGCCTTGTTGCACAGTGTGGGACAGAGAGTCGAGTTCTTACGTTATGATGCCGGTAGTACTTCACAGGCTGTCTTGTGAAGCGATAGTGTGGCTGGGTGCCTAAGTCATAGGCTGATTCCCTCACGGACGCACCATGAGGATTACTTGATGCTGCTCTCACAGCCAGGACTAGGGTAAAAAACGAGAAGGACAACCATTTAATTTACAAAGTAAGTCACTGCAAATGGCAATTTCTAATTATATTATCACTAAACTAAAATTTTCTTCTGGAAGATCCGAGACAAAAATATCCTTTGATGATTTAAAAAGAAGAAAATGGTTTTAAAATATTACAGTTGTGGGTTGACACGAAGGTGCACATGTCTGAAGCATCAGTTGTTTGCAACTGAAGCAAAGATTATAAACACAGCAAGAGAGAAGCAAGCAATAAAAAGTGAGTGTCTTATGTAGTAAAAATCAAAGTACTCTTAATTAACTGCTGGTTCTCAAAGTTTAAATGAAGCCAACGAGTGGCACCAGGATTTATAACAAATCAAATACTATAATAAAACTATAATTCCACTGTTTTATTCATTGTTCCTTTAACATGATTCTTAATGAAAGCCAAGCAGTAAACAAAACTATGATGCATGCTATCAAAGGGAAGTTTTAGTTTTAAAAATAACTGGAGGAAATGTAAAGAGGGTTGACAAAAATAGCAGACCTTGTGACACTACGTCCACAGTATCGAGCGGTTAGAGAGTACTGTGTAAGTCAAGAATCAAAAACCTCTGTGAGGAACTAAATGGACAACTTAGGACCTTAGAGATGTCAGAAACGTTGAACATGTCATCTACTTTACTAGACTTGCAAAGAGAAACATCAGTATTCATAAGCGACACCATCTATCCTTTCCTGTCCTGCTTTTCTTTGCAGGGTTCATTGTGCGAGAGACAGGGTGCACCCAGAAGACTTTGCAAGTCTATTATCTTGTCACACAGAGACAAATTAGACAGACAACCATTCACAATCTAACTTGCACCTGGTGACAATTTAGAGTTACCTGTTGACCTAACATGTCTGTGTGAGGAAACCAGAGTAGTGGAAGAAAACCCACAAGTGCACTGGGAGGACATGTAAACTCCATTCAAGGCTGCAGATGGGCGGCAATCCTACGACCGTCTTGCTGTAAGTAAGGCTACAGCTCTAACAAAGCACCAGTTGTATTTATATGTCATCAGAAGTGACTACTCTATCGCTACATCTGCCTACCTTCTCTGTCACTGGCTTCAGGGCCAACCTGGTCCACTGCCTCAGTGGATGAAGACTTGTCAGAAATGTAACACTCACTCAAGTCTCTCTTGAATGATCGGCTCTGTTGGAATGACACAAGTTGAGTGGTGGACTTCGGTCTTCTGATCACCTTCGATTCTTATCACCACATTCTGCTACTGTAATTTCTAATAAGGCAATGACTACATCAAGCACAGATGGAAAATTCGGAGCAGTCAAGCTAAGAAGTAGTAATGTTTGCATTCTTGTTGCTCCTGAACCATTTCTTACAGCCACAGCAAACGGTTCTTCCTGTTATAAAACAGTGCGCCAACAACTGAAACTTGAAATATCATGCAAGGCAGCAGCAGAAATACAGCCACAGTATGAGGTTAAGTGCCTAAAGTTTTTAAAACAACATACAAGTGCAACACTTGCATAAAGAGATATGCCAGACAGCTTATTCTTTTAACGCTAAAGTACATACTTCTAGAGAGTGTGGACGCTCTCTGGCAGAAAGGTCGTGCTCCAAGTCAGCATCGTCTCCATCCAGAGGACAGGAAGCTCTAGGAGGAGTGTCTGGAAGAGGTGCTGTGGGGGCTGGGGGAGGGGGAGTATTAGTGCTTCCCTCCAGGCCAAATATCTTGTCATGGTGGGTGATGAGGAACTCAACAAGCACAGCCTGGTAGCTCGTCTCCAAAAGGGCAATCATTGACATGTCTGTAGACACTAGAGGGCGCAATAAGGTTGGCCCAAACACTATACCCAGATTGCTAGGAGACATCTTGTTGTCATAATTCTCTGAAACTCTGTCAAGACATAACCATGGACAAATATAGGCAAAATCAAATATAAAAATCAAAGCATTAATGGTACATGTAAAATTAAAAATTGAATGGATGAAAAAAGTGAAGTGAAACTAAAGTAGCATGCTCACTTTTGCAGGTGTGAAATCATGTGCTGCAGCGTCTTGTAGCAACATAAAGGAAGCTTCTGCAGAAGCATTTGCAGGTTATGAATAATGTCCAAGACGTCGGTAGGGTCTGGTGAAGTTTCCCTTTCATTCAGGTGCTGAATGTTCTTTCCCACCGTGATAAAGTCATTGTACAGGTCAAAAGTTAGTAAAGGCTCTGGGAGCTGAAAGAGACAATATTATTATTCACTGGGATGTTGGAAAATCAATGCAACCAACAATAACGGCACACTAATATTCTCAAACATTTAACTTTTAACGTTAAATGGACAGAATGTATAATTTTCTGCCCGTTTTCAATATTGCATCAAAAAAAGCAGTGAAGTTTATTTTGCAAAAACGTCTTTAAGTACCTCTTTGAAGAAGTGCTTAAGAATAGATGTGATGTCATGTGGCGAGAGGTCAGAAAGGTCCACCTGCTCCTTTTGAGTCTCAAAGTTCTGACAGAGCTTCTGGATGCGAGGCTTTGACCCACTCACACGATATACCCCCTCAGAAAACAAAAATAGGTTCAAATTAGATACAGTAGCAGTTCAAACTCGACAACCCACAGTGCATCTTTTGACTTCTGCAATTATGAGCAATACCTGCACAGAAAGAGCCCGGTTCTCTATTTCAGATGTGCAGTGCATCACCACGAATGGCACTTCATCTGGTCTGTCTCGTAAAAGCACAGATAGGTCCACTCCAAACACTGTCCCCTTCTTGTTCTCACACTCTAACTGACACCCCTCCATACACTTCCTGTGGAAAGCCAGCCCACACTGAAAGCGTGAGAGGAAAAGAACAAATAACATTTATTTTAAAACTCCTTTTAAGGTCCATAATAATTTTCTTTTTTTTTTTTTTAAATGTAGCCTTTTACCTCCTCACATTCAACCCCACTGACAACAATGTAGTTGTCACACTGCTTGCATTTAACCATCTTGCTTTTAGTTTTCCTGAGTCGGTGTGTTAGAGCAGCTCGAGAAAACATTCGTGTTTTTACAGTGTGGCTGTCAGTATACTCTGCAGGGAGAGAAAGACGACAGCTTTATGAGGTTTACTATCATTCCTGGCACAGATAAATTGCTCGTGGATGTGTCGAGGGATGTAACAAACCTGATTCTAACGCAGCATCTCGGTCGTCCAGGTCGTCTGACGACACTGTCAAAGTAGATAATGTTTTGGGTAGCCTCCTGTGTCCTTAAGATGTGCATTTCCACAAAGAAAAAAACACAATACAGAAAAAAAAGTTACACTCTACAGAGTTTTGATTTCCATGTGAAAGGATTTGTCATGGAAAACAATGTGCATTAGTTTTTACCAGGGCTGGTCAGGGACTCCAAACTGCCTCCAATACTTTCACTGTCACTGTGGCCTGATTTCCCTAAAGTGCACAGGGGCAGAAATTAAATCAAAAATAAATACTTGTTTGTTAGAGCAGTCATGGTTTTAGCTTGTGGAAATCTTACTGCCATCACTGGATCTTCTGCATAAAACATCATCTGCCATGGGAGATGAGTCCTGCAGACTGCTGAGAACAGTGCCGGTTTTTCGTTTGTTGCTATAAAAAAAAAAGAAAGAAAGTTTGAAACAATTACTTTCACGTATAACATAGCACACATAAACCATACATTTAGTTGAACTCCAACTGTTGTTCCTATTTAATCACAAAATTATAAACTCCTGAGTGATAAATATACATCTATTTTAAAATAATCATTAAATCATTAAAAAATATCAAAACAAGAGCAGAAAGTTTATTCTACTTTTTGCTCTGAGGAGCGTACTCCTGGAAAGTGAAGGTTTGGAGTGGCTGCTCAGGGCGTCGCTTGCTGAGGATGTAAAGCAGATAAGGCTCTCCGGGCTCCACGGTTCTGCACGTTACCTCCAGGTTGTGATAACCAAGAGGAACGGGCTCCATCTGCTGCCGCTGGTAGTAGAACATGTTGACTGTGGCCTGATGAAGGAAGAACGTGTGAGATTAAGGAGGAAGTGTGTCAACAAGAAGATGGTTATTCAAAGAAACTTTCTTTGAATGTTTCCTTCATGTTAATTAATTTGTGGTGCAAAAAAAAAAAAAAGGACATTTGCTCTTTAATCTAGTAAAACTCAATATGTGAGCTAAAAATATATATGAATGGCAAAACACAAATAATAAATTCAGTCAAACAACAAAATATGTTGTGATGTAAATTATTTATTCTAGTAAATTATACTATAATAACTGCAGAGACAGAAAATTAGTGAGACTTGCTGTAAAAATACACAGACTATACAATACAGATGACCAAGGCACAAAACTTGATCTTCAACATTTATAACACATTTTGACAAAAAAAACAAAGTTTGTTTTTATTTGTATTTACTAACCTCTTTGAGCACGGTGTCTCCTTGACAGATGAGTTTGCGAATGTGAGAAATGATTCTTTCTTTGACCTTCACCAACTCGTCTTGGTGAATATTGGCATCACTCACACACTGTCTGTAGAGAAGCTCTGTCTCCATTACCTGCACATGAATGTGTGATAAATTAACTGAATACAGATCACAGCTTATTAAAACACTACCAGGGTGACTATGTGTCACAAATGGAGCAAACAAACAACAACATAGCAGAGTATGCGACTTATTTATGGAATGCATCAAGAAGATTTTAACCTTTGTCCGTGCTTCATCCTTGGACTTCCTCCTCTTATCAAGTGTTTTAACTCCAACCGTGTCATCTATAGCTTTAGCAGAAATTGCTTTAGCTTTTTCTAGCTCATCGCAGCGCTGGAAGTATTGTTGTTTGGCCTTTTTAAGAGTGGACACGGCTTCAATCTGAAGACATGCAGCAATTTTGCACAAGAATAAACACAAATTAGTTTTGTGGACTTAAATTTAAACAGTCCAATATAAAATAAGACACCATCAGCTTACACAATGCATCAACGCAAACATGCATGCTCATAAATTCTTGCACAGTCAAAAATGTGAATTGAATAGAAATATGTGGAGCGAAATAAAAAATGCATCATGTGCCAGGTGCGATCTGTCTTTTGTAGATATCAACACGGTCTTATGTTACTAGAATTTTGCTCTAAACATGTTCAAATGTACCCAGATAGTAGCAGTGACTTGATTTAAAAAACGTGTTTCAGTAAAAATGAAGCCTGTATAATGTACTCACCATCTTCCTTTGTTCCCTTGCCCACTGCTCTTTAAATTCCCTGCGCCACTTATCAATTTCATTTCTCTTAGCAGCCAAAGCCTTTAAAACAAAAATAAAGGAGTAAAAAAAATAATGACATCTAAAATATGAAAAAAGGATTTAATGAATCTTATAATTTTTATATGAAGGTGTGTGGACTTCCATACCTGGTAGCAACGATTTTGTAGCAGCTCATAAGTCCTTCTGGAGGTCACGCTGTTCCTGATGTCTTGCTCCAAAGCCATGGTGTAGATGTACTGTAGTGGCATCATCTCCTGCACACACAAGAACAAACTCAGAGCCTTTCAAAGGTGCCGTACAACTAAGAAGGTCAAAGTCTGCAGACTCAAAGTTATGTTACAACTTATTCCTCAGGGATGTGTGTTGAGCCCCCTCCTGTTTACTCTGCTCATGTATGATTGTGCAGCTACCCATCCAGGCTGTCACATTGTAAAGTTTGCAGATGATACAGTGGTGGTGGGATACATGATGCATCACAAACAATGATGAGTCCAGCTACAGGCAAGAGGTGGAACACCTGGAGAGCTGGTGCAAATAGAACAACCTTCACATCAATGTGAAGAAGACAAAGGAGATGATTGTGGACTTCAGAAGGAACAAAAACACCTACACCCCCCTGAACATAAGAACATAAGAGAATCTGCGGTGGAAGTGGTCTCCAGCTACAAGTACTTGGGTGTACACATGAATGACAACCTCAGCTGGAGCAACAACACCACCAGCCTGATCAAGAAAGCTCATCAGAGACTCTACTTCCTCAGACGGCTGAGACGAGCTGGTCTGGGAAGCTCAGTCCTCGCCTCCTTCTACAGGTGTGCAGTGGAGAGCATCCTGTGCTCCAGCATCAATGTGTGGCATGGAGGCTGCACAGCTGCGGAAAGAAAAGCTTTGCAGAGAGTGATGAAGGCTGCACAGAAGACTGTTGGAGTCAGTCTCCCCACCATCACAGACATATACACCTCCAAATGCAGTAAGAGGGCCACCTGCATCATGAAGGACCCCACTCACCCAGCACACACACTTTTTGTCCCACTCCCCTCAGGAAGGAGGTTGAGGAGCATTAAGTGTAGAACCACTAGACTGAGGAACAGCTTCTACCCTGAGGCTGTTAGACTCATGAAGCTCTAACCAGAATAATCACTGTGAAAAACCATATCATGTTGCTGCTGATCTGTTTTAATGTTGGTGTGTTCATGCATGCTCATCTGCTCACACGGACTCATGTTCACGTTTGTGCTGATGTTCGACGTAATGTTTTATGTTATGAGTGCTTGGTGTATATTTAGTTGATGTTTGTCTTAGTTCATATGTTAGATGTTATTGCTGTTTTTCTTTTACATTTTATTGTTGGATGTAACTGGGACCCTGTGTACATAATGTCGCTCCACCACATGAGGTGCGAATGACAATAAAGAAACTCTGACTCTGATTCCAACACACTGTGGGCATCGTACAAAAACAAAACAACAAAAAAACAACAATAAAAAAACACACATTTTGTCACATTACCAAAGCCATACCTGCTGTGTCACGGTGATCTTTGCTCCCTCTGCTGCCTTTATTACGTTTTTTGAAAATTCCTGCTCTGTTAACAAAAATAAAAGAAGAAAGAAAGAAATCACCTGTAAGTTTTCATCAGCTTGTGTTACAGATAAGATACTGTGGTTACGTTTTGACTTCTATGGATTCCCATTTTAAAGTTAAGATAACTGTGAAACACGCTGATACCAGTTATAGACCTGACGTTCGCTTAAAAAAGAAACCTTCTGAAGATTAAAACTTTTTCCATGTTGCTTTTAAGTGTAGAGCTAATTTTCCTCATGTCCACTTTGGTCTGTTTAATTGTTTAACTAAAATGCTATTTAGTTGAAGAACATTTTAAAAGAGTCCAGTGATTGTAATTGTTTATGTTTGAAAGTGCACAAGTTATAGCCTGACACAAAAAATATTCTCAAAGAAGTTTGACCTGAATGAAGTAACATTTGTTGCAACTGAAACCACAACATTTTCTTAGCTCCATGGGAACTAATGAGTAATACAACAGGGACAAATTAATAACAATTAAGCTGTGATAAATGAAGGGAAATAAGTCAATGACTTAATTAACCATCATCTACTAATAAACTCCATACTATAGCTAATGATCATGTAATGATAAGTTAATGATCAGGCACAAAAGGAATCAGCAACAAATGTCTTCATATGTAACTGACCTGTAAATTACTGTTTCCTAATTATCAGCTAATTAACAAAATAGGAGTTCATCACTATGTAATTAACAGGCAATTAGTCCCTGATTTATTCCATCTTGGTTCCTACTGATCATTTTTTGTGGCCCTTTTTGTAAAATTGACACTACATTGTTGTCATAACTTGCAGTCTTACTCTTTGTAGTTAGTAGATTGTGTTGAGCTGCTCCACCTAACAATAATTATTAGTTGATTAATACTACTCAGAACAGCAGAGTCGGGTGACTGTATTTTTATTGATCCCAAGAGACTTGTAATCTTTACATCCTTTTCTGGACACAAGCGCCTGTTCAAGCTGACATGAGGGTAATCACTGTCCATGCGCTCCAAATTAACTCCCTCTCTTTTATACCCCTCCTCCTAACAGATAATCTCTAATCCCTTTTCTCTGTGTTGTTTACTGGTGTGAGTGCACGCCACCACATACCTCTCCAGAGGGTAAATTAGTGCAGAAAATGAATTGCTGCTACGCTACAGCTGACAATATAAAATGATATGTGTATTATTGTTATTATTATTATTTTCTTATCCTGATAGGTCAGTGTGAAGCAAGGTTCGGCTTTTCTCTGTCTCACCAAACTGGCATAGTTTAACGTTATAGAATTTGGGGAAAACTCACATCTATTGTTAAAATGTGAAATATCCCAAAACTTAAATCCAACAAATAGTGCGTTTCTAAAACCAGTCCCTGCATGATGGATAACAGCACATTTATATTTTGTAAGCAACCCTTGTATTTCTGCTTTTGTATGCATGTTATATTCAAATGCACAACCTTCATGACAGCCTAATCATTTGCATGTTACACTGCTACTTCCTTACTCTGTTAGATGTGTACTCACCCAAGCTGATTCTCTTCTCCATCCAGGCCAGAAGGTCTTTGGCATAGCGGCACCACAACTTGGCGTACTGCAGTGCAGCCTCCACTCCATCCTTACTGTGAAAGAGGGCCAAGTCTGCATCCTGGGCTGTGAGGGAGTACATCAGCATCACTGTAGGCTCTTCGAACTTGAAGCTATATCCAGGGCTGACGTTGAGTCCACTGGGCTACACCCAACAGCTTTTCTGTCCCGCAGAACTCACTGAGCCCCCAAACTCAAGGAAAAACCGGTTTCTTTTACAGTGTCAACCCCAAGCGTCCACACTAAATCAAACTAGTCAAAGCTAATTAAAAAAATCAAATGAAGCTTAAAAGATGTGCACAAACCCAGTACAGGAATCAGAGATTGCAAGCGGCAAGTCATAGCTGCTCCTCAGAGTAAAGATCTTGTGGTTTCCAAGAGGTTTGCACAGATTGAAAGAATTTCTTGCCACCAATTCGTGAGTCTGCCAAACAAAGTGAGGACGTGATCTGAGAGAGGACGCTTTCTATCGACCAAATAACTTCCCTCCTCTTCTCTCTTCCTCTCTTTTTCTGTCCCCTCCCCCTCACACCTGTTCACTAGGTCAGCTACTACTGGTCAGCTACAAAGAGACAAGGTGAGAGCAGACATACAACTTGGAGCCAGCGGGTATCAGAGTCCAACGTGTCACAGCTTTACTGCGGTCAGGCTTTCAGTGTGTTAATACGACAGCCTTCAAGCAAAGTACTAACGCACCTAAAAAAACTTTCACTTCTCCCAGCAGTACACACGGTGCAGTCATTTTAAACCAGTAAGCACGCACAGACAAGAGAGCAATGGTTTCTCTCTAAAGTTCCCGATTCACACAAGCAGATTCTTTTTAACATCAGTTTTTGGACACAGACACTTAATTTAAGTGGAGCGTAACACAAACATCCAATTTTATTTCCTGTCATCCTTCAGAATTAAAATAAAAAAGGCCAAGAAGAATCATGCACTTGTGAATATGATGATTTTGCAATTCACAACTGTTTCTGTAATAAGGGAAACTTTAAGAATTTTCAGAAAGCTACCCCAGTTTAAAATCTGTGCTGTCACATGACTAGTCTTCAGACCTGGGATTTAAGATTACCCAAGTCTGGTCCAGATTTCAGTGTCAGAGATGAGCAGTGATTCAGGTTCCCCCCCCCCCCCCCCAGCCTGTGACTGAGCAGGTGTTGTCAAATGGGTCAGGGTAGGGGTCCTCGATTTAGCCTCATTTAACTAGATATTGTTTTTTCTGTCATCTTTTTTTCAACACACTGTCTTATTTCACATCCCGTGTGATGTAATGTGATGCATAGTTTAAGTATAACAGAAGCTGGTGCACACAGCAGTAATTTTATGAGTGACTAAGTGCTGCTCTTTTCTTTATTTCCTCTGGTTCTTTCCCCTCAAACTCTGTAACACTGACATTTCCTCTTTTATCTCTTAGAGCATCTGTGCCCTGCTTAAATCCTCTCCCTTGGGCCTAATCTTGTTACAGCACGGCAACTATAACTCACAGCTAAGTACCTGAAAATAAGTGTTGCTTACATTGGCTTGTGCTGCATCACAACAAAAACTAAGAATGACAGATATTTGCCACTTAAAGTTTATATTAGGATATGCAATAAATAACTGAATGACCACAAGCACTAAAACGAGACTCCCGTAGGTGTCGACGTACAGAAATAAATCTTACAAACTGTGAGCAGAGCATCACCATTACATCAATTTTTCCCCCTCTTTGACTCACAGTTCTTACCTGTTTGGTTTCCATCCACTTCACCGGCCTCAGCACAAGTCTGTGAACAACACCCATCAATTTCTCATGTCGGTGAAATCAGCCATTTCAGCAACAAATCACAAAGATTTTAAAACTTACATGTGCATCGTTTTGTTCTGTGATCTCAGCTCCTTCTGTGGAGATGGTCTCTGAGATGGAATCACTATCTATTAGCAAATCCTCCGTTTCCCTAAACAGATAAGAAAAAGTGTTAGGTGAAATACAATTAGAAATAATTAAAAAATAAAGAATTTGTTTAGCAAAATTGTGCACTGGAAGCACAAATAAATAAATGTACTGGTAGACAGATTAGTTTTCACAAATTATTATCTTGTACACAGTTTCTAAGACCAGACATATTTATTTACTCATTAATTTACCTTTCAGCTTTACCCCTTTACATAAATTTAATTGTTTTGTGTCACTTGAAAAAGCTGCTGTGACCCAAAACTATGTAATAGAATGTGAAAAAAGCTTGAATCAGTTGCGTAAGACATACAGACTGCTATGACAGATGTATACACTAAGAAAATTTTTATTTTAAAAGGAAACTGTACATAAAAGGACAAGTTCATTATTTAAACTTGAGCTCACCAATATACTGTTTGCGAAATGTTTCATTTTTAATGAACAGCTAACCTAAATTCATGAAAAACAATCACTAACCACTATGGTTTTCTGAGGCATAATTTAGATCAAACTGATTAGGCAGACTGAATAGGAAAAACACAACGAACACATAGTTGAACCATTTGAAAATATATAGTACTTACGATGAGATAAATGATAAATCGAGATTATCAAAATCTCTGAAGATCTCACTGTATCGCTTGGTTTCAGACTTATGAGGCACTTTCTTCACATCTGAAAAATTTAATGAAAAAGCTGGCATTGAAACGCAACTAAACACAACCTGCACAAATGGGTTCATTTTTTAATCTTTGTGAACAGTTTATGTGATTCAAGTATTATCTGTTTTAATTTTAATATTACAATTACAAAGGTGTTAAACATGTAGCCTGTGCACTTATTGCTAAATACACACAATTACAGGATACATTCACCCATAAAACTCACGTCAAGATTACTGACAATGACAAAAAAAAACTTAGTTCCGCTTCTGGACTATAACAGCATTTCCTTAAATTGCTGAGTAAAATAGTTTAAGACTGAATGTGAATAAATTACAATTCAAAACAACATGATGCATTTTGTTGATGGAAGCTCAAACTTTTGGGCTCATTTGCTTTAACTGACATCCCACCTCCTCTCAATCCAAATCATTAAAACCCAGCAGATGTAACGAACAAGACAAAAATCTCCCTCTCTCAGAGATACCTCCATCTTGGTCAACCACATCCTGCTTACATTTTGTGTCATGTCTTATAATGCACAAAGAGTCCTTGTTTTTTACACCCTTAGTGTTTAAGTTATAAAATGATAACCAAGAGAAAGATGTTACAAACTTCAAGGTTGATTTTTTTTTTATTCAAACTACACAAACTCTAAAAGTTTTGTTTTTGTTCCTTTAAATCAATTTTACATTAACAAATGTTGATCACATTGCGAAAAAAAACCCTCATGTAAATTACAAAAAAATTCTGCTAGAATGTAAATTAACACTCCATATGTTATTGTTTGCGTTTGCAGGGAAATATAGTACTTGTATCTTGTTTGAAATATTCAGATGCCAAATAAAAAAAGGCAGAACTAGAATGTAGTAAAACGAAGCACATTCAGGAAGTTCACTAGACTTCTTTTGACAAGTAGAATGCTTTACAGCACCACAGGCTCTGATGTGCAGACTGTCATGGCATTTTGTGCAAGCAGCATGTGCTTGCACCCACGAGCATAACCTATGTCGTTATGGCACCACTGCATAGTTGGTAAATTTTCGGCAACAGCAAAAAATGTATTTTTGCCACATTAAAACCTTTTAATATATATTTAATGTATTTCTGTAGCAAACTAAAAATAGGAAAAATGTTTTAAACATGTGGACATTATGGGACAAACAAACATGTGGAGTGTAAAGCGTCACTAACTCAAATCTTCTCCTGAAGGCCCCTTCCTGGCTCACCTGTGTCTTGAGAAGATTCCTTGTTTGACCCTGGTTCTTCCATTTCTCCCCTTTCACCGCACCAGCAGCCAGAACTTATACATAACGCTCGCAAATCATCACCACCTGGGTCACTCAGTAATACGCCATTAAATAAATAAACAGTGTTGCTGAAATAATAAAAAAATTCCACCAGAGTGTGTACGCGCAGTGACACACTTGTAGTAAATTCAGCTCTGTGCTTGCTCCGGTCTAACCTCTCAGAATATTCTTCCTCTGGTAGAGTGGAGGTTGGTTAACGTTTTCACCATCGAAGGAAGAGGAAGTGTGTCTTTGTCACAGTAGGCCCTACCCACAATATCTCACCATATAAAGTGAAAGGGCAACACTTTAGATTTGTCTTAGTGAGATGTATTTCTGACCTCTGACAGATAGGAATAAATAAGATTATGACAAACGTGACACCTCTTGTTTTCACCTTTACTTCAGTATAATTAGAAAATTAAGTTGTTTTCTTACTGCGCAACTGAGGTCACAATAATCCCCACAATAAACAATTACTTTGGTTAATTGCTCATCGTCAGTAATGGTCAAACCAAGTTTGTATTGTCTGTAATAATAAGACAGTTAATCTTCTTAGTATTTTGGCTTTTCCCCTATTCAGGGGTCGCCACAGTGAGTCATCCTCCTCCATCTCTCTCTGTCCTCTGCATCCTCTGTCCTAACACCAACTACCTCCATGTCCTCTTTAACTGCATCCTTATATCTCCAATTTGGCCTTCCTCTTTCTCTTTTTTTCTGGCAGCTGCATGTCTAACATCTTTCTATCAATATACCCACTGTCCCTCCTCTGGACATGTCCAAAACATCTCAGTATGGCCTCTCTAACTTTATCTCTCACTTTGTCTCCCACTTGAACCCACGGAGCATGTGGAAGGGCATTAAATGCATCACCGACTATAAAAGTAGGGGAGCACAATGCCCTAGGGACCCATCACTTCCTGATGCTCTTGATAGGTTTTATGCCCACTTTGAGGACCCAAGCAGACCACCCAGCATCAAGCTCACCTCACCACCGGAAGAGGAGTTCCTCAGCGTGACCTCAGCAGAAGAACTGTGCCGATCAGCTCTGTAAGGTGCTGGCCGAGAGCTTTAACTTCTCCCTCACTCTGGCAACTGTTAACACCTGCCTGAAGACCGCCATCTATGGCCATATAATTACGGATGTTTGACCCTTCAAATGATGAATCAGGTGATGTCATTTAAGATATCTTGAATTGCTATTCTGACTAGTCAGAATGTAAATACAGATATCTTAAATTAGCATTCTGACTAGTCAAAATGTAATTGTTCCTAGTCAAAATTCAATTTTAGATATCTAGAATGTAACTACAGATAGTCAGACTACTCGATTTTATGTTAAAAGGGCTTGCCATAGCCACCATCATCCCAGTTCCTAAAAACTCTGAAGTGACTGGTTTGAATGACTACCGGCCAGTAGCCTTCACCTCGATAGTCGTTAAATGCTTTGAAAGACTGGTCATGACCAACATCAAAACAACAATCAACATCAGTGAGGACCCACATACCGCAAAAATTGATCAACAGAAGACGCTATCTCCTCTGTGGACCACACTGCTCTCAGCCTATCACCCACCTGGAGCAGGACTCCTACGTCCGTATGCTCTTTGTGGACTTAATTCACATTCGCCTTCAACACCATGATTTCCCAGACCCTGACGGACAAACTACTCACACTAGGACTAAGCCCCTCCCTTAGCAACTGGGTACTAGCCATCTTAACCAACAGACCACAATCTGTGAAGATCCATGACTTCTCCTCCTCCACCATAATCATCAGCACTGGCTTCCCTCAGGGCTGTGTGTTGAGCCCCCTCCTATTCACTCTGCTAACATATGACTGTGAACCTACCCATCCAGGCTATCATATTGTAAAGTTTTCAGATGATACAGCTGTAGTTGGATGCATCACAAACACCGATGAGTCCAGCTACAGGCAGGAGGTGGAACACCTGGAGAGCTGATGCAGGAAGAACAACTTTCACATCAATGTGAAGAAGACAAAGGAGATAGTCTTGGATTTCAGATGGAGCAAGTACACCTACCCCCCGTCCCCCAAACATAGGAGGATCTGCGGTGGAAGTGGTCTCCAGTTACAAGTACTTGGGTGTGCACCTGAATGACAACCTCAGCTGGGGCAACAACACCACCAGCCTGATCAATAAAGCACATCAGAGACTCTACTTCCTCAGGCGGCTGAGGCGAGCTGGTCTGGGAAGCTTAGTCCTCACCTCCTTCTACAGGTGTGCAGTGGAGAGCATCCTGTGCTCCAGCATCAACATGTAGCATGGAGGCTGCACAGCTGCAGAAAGAAAAGCTTTGCAGAGAATGGTGAAGGATGCACAGAAGTCTGTTGGAGTCAGCCTCCCCACCATCACAGACATCTATCTACACCTCCAAATGCAGGAAGAGAGCCACCTGCATCATGAAGGACCCCACTCACCCAGCACACACTTTTTGCCCTGCTCCCCTCAGGCAGAAGGTTGCAGAGCTGTTAACATTCATAAATTCCTAACCAGGATAATCACTGTAAGATAAAAAAAAATCCCTGTAATGCCACTTTAATTGGTGATTTGTGACATCTGTACTGCTGATTATCTCATGCTGCTGTATTAATTCATACCTATCTGCTCATCAAAAACTCATGTTCAGGCTGCTGTTGTGCTGTATTGTTTTACATTATTAGTGTTTAGCGTATATCTTAGATCCTTACTTAATGTTTCTTTTTATACTTTATATTTTGTTATTTTTGCATGTAACTGGGACCCTGTGTACATAATTTCGTTCCACCTCCTATACCACATGTGGTGGTAATGACAAAGTTGACTTGAACTTCAGCCTGTGTTGTACCTCTGATTATCTCATTCCTAATCTTATCCATCCTTGTCACTCCTAAGGAGAACCTCAACATCTTCATTTCTGCTACTTCCAGTTCTTTCTCCTGTCTTTTTTACAATTCCACTGTTGCCAGACCATACAACAGAGCTGGTTTCACCAATGTCTTATAAACTTTTCCTTTGCCCTTTGTTGATACTCTTTTGTTGCAAATCACTCATGAAATTGTTCTCCATCCTGACTGGACTCTCTTTTCCCACCCCTTTACTACACTACTTATTTTCCTGGACAGTGGACCCCAAGTACGGTACTTGAGGTCCTGCACCTTTGTGACCTCCTTGTAGCCTCACTGTTCCGCCGGCCTCCCTCTCATGCACTCTGTCAATATTATGCCAAAAATCAGAAATTAAAATTTTCCAAACAACATTTTATTTAGTTTTTGACACATAGCATTAGCAAGTCTTTGTGCCATGAACAGGAAAATTATTTTTTTCTAACATTTATTTTAAATGTACCCTTGTAATAGAGAATCTGAAAAAATAAATAAATTACCATAACTTGGACTTTATACACGTTTGTTCAATTTCATAATGCCAAATAAAGTCAAATTCTGATTAATATGATCTAGAAATGTTAAAAACACATTTTAGATTTCTGTCACAAGCTACTTAAAAGGAACATGTAATCATGTGCTTCTTATATTACATGTATTACCATATTTAACATGATTCATTCAATGATACTGCTGAGAGCTGAGTTTGTGGTGACAGTCTGCAAAGAATCAAACAGCATCAGTAGAAGCACACGAGAAAAAAATATATAATTCTGCTTTAATATTAGTTTAGTCATTGCAAGTTAACAGGGAGTGTTGTTTTGTTAGAGTGGCACAGTTGGTAGAGCTGTTGCCTCTCAGGGAGAAGGTTGCCAGATTAAATCCCGCCTGGGGGCCATTCTGGGAGGAGGTTGAATGTTTTCTCCATGCATGCGTGGGTTTTCTCCAGGTACTCCCATTTCCTCCCACAGACCAAAAACATGCATGTTTTTGGTCAAGTTGATTGGCTAATTGGTAACTATAAACTGTCCCTAGGTGTGAGTGAGTGTGAATGGTTGTTTGTCTCTATATGTGTCCCTGTGATGGACTGGAGACCTGTCCAAGGTGTCCCCCGCCTCTTGCACAGTGACAGCTGGAGAATGGCACCAGTGACCCCGTGACCTTTGCCATTTTCTTACTTTAACATACAGGAATGTAAATTAACAAAATAATGTCTGGTGGTTTACTAAATAATAAAAATAACATGCAAATTAAAATAAAAAATTACTAAAATAAAAAATAAAATAAAAAAGATGTTTAACCTTATCCCAACAATGAGCGACATAAAGTTGACAATATTTAAATCCCTGCTCTTCATCTTGGTGGTCACAGACAAGTCTGTTTGTTGTCTAATGTATCAATATTCACAAGACATTTAAAAAACTTTTCACAGTGCAATGTAAAGTTAGGTTGACTGAAATTAACCAGCTCAGTTTGATTCTTTCTTAACGTATTTGTTAATTTCTGTATGACAGACACAAGCCGAGTACTGCAAATGCCATTTAAAGTGACAAGTCTAGTGCCCTATCAAAGCAAAGCATAAACACAAAATGCCCCTGATCCCTTTTTTAACATGTCATATTTTGCTAATTTAACCACTCTTTAAAAGTTGATATCACACTGCTGCTGCGATGCTACATTAAAAATGCCTACAGAAGACAGACAATAAAAAACTATAATTTATCCCATGAACCCTTCACATTTTAGGTTCTCACTCGTTTCTTCTCAAAGCTCGTCCCGCGCTGCACTGTCCAATGGGGACTGGAGCACGTCTGAGTTTTGGGCCTCACTGCTGATCTTAGCCTGCTCCTGAGTCTTTCCTGAGCGTGCTCTATCCCAGTCTGTATGGATCTTATCGTTGTCCCACACAGTGGAGGTCTCAGTGTCACTGATGTAACCTGGGTCGCCTGTGTAGTGAGATGGATACACAAGGAGAGGCTCTGCAGAAAACGCCTTTAGGTCCCGGTTTTCAAACTGTTCCATATAATCGGAGCTGTCAATGAGAAGGCAAAGCCAAAACAAAAATACATATATATATATATTCAGCAGAAGTTTATGTGTGCATACTTTTTCTAGTAGAGATAAATACTTACACTGGGTGTTTGTTGTACATGATAGGAAGAAACTCATCCACTGGCAAAATCTTCTTCAGAGGTTCTGCTTTTAAAAGCTTCTCAGCACCCTGTAATGACATCATATAACCCAGTGTCCAGTAGGAATAGTCTGCCTCCACTAGATTATGTATGTGTGGCACTGCTTTCTCCGGATGATCCACTTGCATTCTTTTCCGACCAATATAGCTAGATAAAAGAAAGAAAGGGAGCGGTGAGAAGACTCTTATGACTTAAGAAAGCTGTGGCAGAATTGCAAATGATCATAGAAGAGTAAACTCACATGAGATCCCAATCCAGTCCCTCATCCTCAACCTCCCTCATTAAGTTCACCAAGCGACGTTTGAAGAAAACCTCAAAGCGCAGATCATCTTCAATCACTAGAGAAGTCTGCAAACGTCTCTCTACAATCTAAAGACAGATGCACATTCATCAAAATGTCCCCCATGTTTGAAAAATATTTCAGCGCTTGGCTTTAAAGATGCACCTCTTTCCAGACGTTATAGTGAGAAAGAAAACAGCCCAGCTCTCCTTTCGTCAGTGGCCGATCGTGGTAAGGGTCGCTGTATCCAGGGAGCATGTGGATACCCATGGCATGAATTTCACTGACATTCATTGCTCTATAAAGAAGAAAGGAAACATGACACTAAAAAGAAAAGCGCAAATGTGATGATCAATGGGTACTGAACAGTAACAAACATTTGACACGGTGAACTTACTTTCCATCTACTGCTGCAATGACCTTGCATGCGATTTCCTGTTCATAAAGAACCGTCAGCATACGTTCTCTGCGATCTGTTCTTCTCTGCAGGTTGATCACAAACACCTGCACATAAAGTGAAACCAGCTAGTGTAACTACAGATTTAAACAGAAGGGGGAAGCTTTCAGAAAAGAAATAGCGAGAGGCCATTTTTGCATTGTTCCATCTTCACATCGCTCATTACTCACCTCATCAAAGCCCATTTTGTCAGGTTGTTTTCTAGGGACACGCATGTATTTGGAAGGCATCACTGGAGAATTTCGCACTATACAGTAAGAGGGAAGATGGACGCAGAAATGGTATAAACGATATACGAAAGACTCATGCTGCAAGACGTTACTGTTCAGACAGAGCAGCGAAGATTAGAATAGAAACCTTAGAGCCAGTCAAAACAAAAAGTTGGATGCAAAAAGATATTCTGAAAGCAAAACACTCACCACTAACTTCCAACAGGGAGTGCAGGAAGCTGTCAGCTTCATCTTGTAAAGTATTGTGAGCGCGCAGCGGTACAGGAAAATGACCATAGTTCTCCTCATTACATACAAACATTTGAACATCTGTTAAAAAAAACAACATAGGATGGAAACATTAATCTTAAATAAGTAACATGTTTAGACTGTCATCTAAGCACAAACTTGTGGAATACCTGCCATCCGAGCAGAGAATGCAAACACGATAATGTCATCAAAAGCCCAGCTGTAGTCTGGATGTGGCGGGTGAAAGGCCAGCTGCCTCGAAGCCTCTTTCCTGAGGTCTATCAGGAATGTGGAGTGAACCATAGGAACAGCAAAACAGCCCTTCCGCACTCTCTTCCTGATGGGTATGTAGGCAGGTGTCCTCTTATAGTAACCCTGACAAATTAAAGTCAATTTACATTTAAATTCACAAAACTATTTCAGCGTTTGCCTGAGCACACAACCAGTTTTCATACCTGGGAAGTCATTCCACACCAGAAGTTTGAATAGGCGGCTCGAGAGTCAAGCATCGGAGCAATAATAGTCTTATTCTGGTTCATGAGCTTCCAGAGAACGTTGGGATTGGTGAGGAGGTTATCACAGTCCACCAGCTGCACAGAGGGAAGTGGTGAGCTTGTGAAACATGTTTATAAAGAGTCAAAAAAAGGTGTGCACATCATCGAGTATTAAAAAAGGAGCATGTGAAGCGTTAATGAAGCACAAAAACTGGAAATTTACTGCCCAAAAATATCTGACAGTTCATGTTAGTTTTGTCTTTAAAAATGAAGCTACAAAATAATGCTATGACAGTTTTTGCAATGCCACTTCAAACTTATACTCCACTAAATCTAATCAATGTTGGTCAGTGTGACTCAACATTTTAACTATAAATCTGCACGGTGCTGCATTGAAATGTTAAAGATCTAGATAAACTATACTAAAATACAAACAAAGCGTAAGTAAATTAAACTTCAACACCCTGCGTTCCTCTTAATTTACAACTGTGGTAAATGCTTGTGTTTGATTCTGTCGTCATTCTTTAGCTGCTATGATCAAAAGAAGAGTTAACTTCTTTAACAGCGTTAGTCTTTTTCTTTTACTCTGGAAAATCTTATTGACGTACCATGAAGTAGTCTGCCCACATTTCACGAGCAGACTCCAGTGCTACTTGCCGAAGTTTCATAACATGCTCATAACGGAGATCTGTCCACTGTTTTGGACCATCTTCATCCTTATAACGTCTTCAAAAAGACAACGTGGCGTTAAATGAACAAATTTCTATTTGTGGCAGAAACTGTGACGGAACAAACCTCGGTTCTTCTTTTGGCCTCCACTCCACATTATGGTACAGGCTTTGCACTTTTGAAAGCCAATCACGCAGAATCACTGTGGTGTTGTCCTCATTATGATCAGTTGCTACCCTGTCATTAAATATCGTATACAAAAAAAACAACACATATTGTATTTTAAAAAAAACAATGAGCATGAATGCGATCAGCAAACAGTTAACAATGGCTAAGTGTAGAACAAGCACCAGATTTGGTTCAAGCAAAGAACAACGCTGAAATGAAAAACCTCGACTCAAATGACAATAGTCCTGTGTTCACTTTTTGGAATCGTATTGTCTGCAGCAGTGGGAACTGAGACAAGTGTTACAGACACCAACAGTCCACAACAACAACCACCTACAACTAGTGGATACCTTGTTAGGTTTGCATTTTAAAGGAAGCTTATAGAAAGGAAATGTAAAAGGATAAGAAAAAACATTGCAGAAGTGAAACTTCTAGTTGTAATGGCTTAGAACGGAAGGAAACGATTTGAACTTGGGGCATGTGTGAAGAAAATGAACCCATGTTCTCGACAGTCTACAGGTTTAATGCAATCCTGAAGAACACATTTATCCGTGCATGACACCCTGCTTCAGTAACATCTGCATTAATTTATATTTTCCTCATTTGGATGACAGCCAGAAGGGATTGTTTTTAAATATAATTTGCGGACACAACAGCAACCATAATTTCTGATACTGTATACGTCTTTCAAATTACTCAGTCTTTTTACTTTGTTTCCTTGTTTATGCTCAAATGAAACAACTTTGCAAAACAAAAGCATACTCCTGAGCTGAGCGTTAAACAGACACCAGTGAGAGATGTCGCTCTTCTAATCTGGTCTATTTTTACTTTTACTGGAGTCGAGCAGAATGCAGCTTTAATTGCAGTCATCAAGGATTTAAATGACGGTTTGGACGATTATGATTCTGAGGCTTTGGCATGCTTACGAACAGCTGCGTGAGCACCCAGTAAAATACATAGAATATGGGGTGTTTATAGTACAACGTTGTTTGCATTCCTCACATGTAACTTAAGCTGCATCGAAAACAAATATGCAAACATTCCCAACTGAGTTTAACAAGATTCTCCTCCCCAACAATTAAAACCTTTTTACAAGGCTTCGCTGTGAAGTTATATTACTTAATCAAGGATTACACCTCTTCACTCTTTGGGTCAGCCATGTAAAGTGCTCAAAGCTGAGGATACAGATGTGTGTGGGCTGTCGAAGCATGTCATTTAGTTTTTATGCTGGAATCATCACTCTTTCCCTGGTTACAGTTCTTCTCCAGACATGGTTGACAGATGTTTAATTAGAACAAGCATTAGATTAGAAGGGTGTGTTAATCAGCAGGATGAACAGATAAAAACGGCCTGCAGAAAACTTTTACTGAGGCATGATTAAATAGTTAACATGACTAGCTGCTGAGAAAACACAAGTTACAACATGAACACATTGTTTTATAGTTTTATAAATAATAAAACTCAAGATTGAGGAAATGGAGGCTGGTGTGGAGAAAGTGAAGTTGGAATCCCACAGCTCCTCTGGTGGCCACATTTTTCCCCGTCTCCTCCCCTCCACGTTTACAGATCAACTCCATAAACTGATAAAAAAAAGTGTCGATATCTGTGCACCTCTTTCTCCAGGTTTGATTTTAACAGATCGATCAAGATTCACCACTCTATGATAAATAGGATTTTCTCGCTCCAGACACTCTTGACGCTCAATCTCTGCGGGTCCACCCACTTTTAATATTCCTCAAAACCAGTATAATGTGGACATTGTGTTAGGAAGATTTCCAAAATGTGAGATCATTTAAACATGCAAAGCAAACATCCCCCCCCAGTGACAACTTACCAGAGAGCCATCCTGTCTTTAGGATAGTTGAGGCGCTCAATAGTACCCAGGAAATAGGGCAGGGAGTGCTCAGAGTTTCTGCAGATGAGCGCAACCAGAACCCGGGGAGCGAGGAGCGGAGACTCGGGGCTCCAGCGCTCCTCCGCAAAGTATCCCCGGGCAGGAGCGCAGCAGCCAGCCAGGAGCAGGAGGAGCAGCGCGGCGCGGAGGACCGACACTTCTAGCATGGCGCTGATAAATTATGCTTCACAGAAAATCAATTCAACTGCAACTCGTTTAAAACTAAAGGATGGGAAACTGTCTCCGCTTCTCCCCGTCATCACAAAGACAGGAAAGCGGCTGCGCTGCAAGTTCAGCTTTAAAGGGGTGGGAAGTGCTTTGCTCTTAAAGGGGATGGACAACAAACTTTCAGAGCGCAAATAGGATCACTTTTGAAAACTTTCATAGAACTGGTTAACGTTATAAAGAATAAGAGAAAATATATATATATATAATTTGTCATTAACCATGAAATACTTTATTTGACATTTTACAAATCATTCCCAACCGATAAACAAGACATTTAGGCAACAATTATAGCATCTTGGTCAGATTATGTTACATTTTTGTAAAAATTTAGACAAGAAAATGCTAAATTTCAGTCATATTTCTAAACAGAAAATACTCTAAATATTTGATCTGAAACCTGTTGCATCTCTATGCAGCATAACTAAATGATAATTCAATTTAATAATGAGCTGTGCAGAAAACAATAAACAAATCGTTTATATTTTACAGAAACTGCAATATTCAACCTTTGACATCTCACTACCCCTGTCACACACAATACATATTTTGGACATTCTGCTTTATTACACTGAAAACTCTACAGTTTGGCACCTGAGCCAAGCCTCTCTACCTGAATGGTCAAAGAAGCAGCTGCAGGTTCGTCAATGAGCCAAAACAGCTCACCCTTGGTTGGGACAACGCGAGCTGCTGGAAACACAGAACTTTCTCTATTTTCCAGGACTTCCTGAAAAAAAAAAAAAAAAGAAAAAAGGCCAGTTTTGTAATATGTACAGCTGCATGTGATGATCTCTGGGGGAAAAAGACCTTCTCATTTGATCTGTAACATCAGTAAACAAGCTCCTGATATTTTTTTTTAAACTAAATTGTATTTTTTTAATCTTTTATAAATACAACACAGTATTTATTTGTACATTATAGTCTCATAAGGAGTAAAATGGGCACAATCACATAAGTTGAAACTAACCTGTATAAATAAAGGTTGAATGAAAGTGATGTACTATCAATAAAAATCCTGAACTGCATAGATCTTTTTTATATATTCATAGATAATGAGGATTTTGAAACAAGACTGATAAGTGTTTCAATCTTACCTTTAAAACAGGTGCTTTGCTTCCACCTGTAGTTACAAAAGCAACACAGAGCGCAGAGTTCACCACTGGAAAAGTCATTGTCACACGCTGTGGTGGTGGTTTGGGAGAATCACTGATAGGAGCCACTATCTTCTTTGTTTCCTGCATTTTGGACACAAACAAACCAAATTTGTTACTATAGAAAAAATAAAAATAAAACGCGAGTTACGATCGATGACATGTCTCACTTCTACAGCATAGCATGATGCATATTAAACAGACTTACATTATTTTGATACTTTCATTTTTTAAAGGTGGATTTTTTCCCCTGAAACAATCACTTGCTCTTGTTTGAAATCAGCAGATATTGATCACGTATAGCTTCCAGCCTTAATAAACAGTATAACCTCACACTTAGCACTTTCACACTTTTCACTAATGATGTTTTACCTTCGCACAAGCAAACAAAAGCAAATTAAACACATTATAGCAAGTGAGCTGACAGAATTGGAGCAAAATAAATCAATATGAAGAGCATAGTTAACAATTTGTTTTATCATAAGAGATTGTTTTTTTTCCCCCATGGTCCTTTCAAATGTCAATAATCAGCGAGGGTCATTCCTAGCTTGATTCAGCTTAACAAACACAATGAGAGGAATGCTTTGTTTGGATTGCTGCTTTGAGTTAAGGTATGTCAACATTACTGGGGCGATGGAAACAGCGATTTCTTAGTGCCTGCAGCAAAGCAATGATTTTTTTGTGTGGTGGAAATGTATGAGAACTCTTTTGCATATAGTGCCAACAGCACATCAGTAGAAGTAACACCATGATCAACAAATAGTCATGGTGAAGACTTGAAAGCACACAATGACACACAAAAATACTAAATTAAAAAATATCTTAGAATAACCCAGACATTATATAAAATTTGAATACATAAACATATAGACACACTATTATTATACAAGAGATAAGTGCACTAAGAAACTGCTCTCACCTCGAGAAGAGGGTGGTCTGGAAAAAGGGAACACGTGTGCCCATCGGGTCCCATACCAAGCAGTAACAGGTCAAATACAGGAAAACTGTCACCTGGGAAAGCCTGCAATTGTGAAAGTGACTAATCAATGCAATAGGACTTTTTAAAAATTATTTTGCCATGTTCTAAAATCTTGCGACAGATCTGCACCTCTTTCAGTTTGCGGGAATAATCTTCAGCACAGTCACCGACTGACAGAGAGGAGTCAATGGTTAGGATACCACTTTCAGGGATGTTGATTTTGGAAAACAAATGAATCTGGGGGGGAAAAAAAAAAGCAAAGTGGTGCATTTTATCGAAATGTGTTTGCATGATCATATATTAACACAGACACTAGCTACTGAAACAAACAAACATTGCACCTTGTAGAGACCATAGGTGCTCTCCGGATCATCAAATGAAACCAGTCTCTCGTCGCAGAAGCCAACCACCCATTTGCTGCAGTCCAGTTCTGGCAGGGCAAGCAGCTCTTTGCTGAGCAGAGAGACGAGGCTTCCTCCAGAGAGGCCCAACGTGAACCTGCCACGAGAGGAGATGGCCCTCTCAGCCCGTGAAATCACAAGATGGGCCAGTGCAGGACCCAGCTCTGCTGAGGAGGGAAACACCACCACCCTTCTACCAGCCATGAGAGCACCACCTGCCATGAAGAACAAGAAAATTACAAAACAAAAGGAAGTTACTCAACAGAAATGCAAATTACGATCTGCAAATAAATGAAACTTCTGGTTACTGTATGTAAAGGCATTTTTAACAGTATTTAACTTGATAGGGTACAAATACAGTTCAGGAAAATGGAGACTGCTTATCTCAACGGGGGAAGAAAAATCATGTTTACAAAGGTGTTTAAGCATATAGAACAAACGAGCTGTAGAATGTATGATTCCCTTGTGTAAATAAGAAACTTTTCATACCTTGTAAAGACAAACTCAACAGTAGAAGATGGTCATACGAGTTTTCAGTCGGTACGTTTTATTCGAGGCACTACTTCCTCCAACGAAGTTTATTAGCCAATCACAGTTTTTGGAATACCGCGATGCATTCTGGTTACTGTAGTCTGCGGAAACGAACAGTTGGGGGGGGGGGGGGGGAAAGGCGAAATATTAACGTAAAGCAGGAAGTTTAGTTGAGAGTCATTTAACTCAATTGTTGCTAATATCAACTGAAGGTAAAATGTAAAGCAAACTATTAAAAATATTTACGCCTGTCTTTTCGAACGGTTGTGTAATATTTCCGCCCCGCCGGCAGATGGCGGTAAAACATTTTTCTACAACTGAGTTGACGTTGTTGTGAGTGACAACATTTTATTAGGAGACTCACCAAAGGAAACATGTCCACATCTTTTTCTTTTCAGGCACAGCTTGTCTCCATAATGGACGCGTTGTCCAAAGCAGCTGTAATGGAAATAAGCAAACTTGTAGAGATCGAATCGAAGATGTTGAAAATAGAGATAACTCGAGGGCGAAATGAAATTGCCTCGCTGACAGAGAAACTGCAGCTGATGGAGAAGTTACTTCACATGGCACAGGGGCGCAGTCAGGATGCTGCTGGAGCATCCGTGGTGAGAGAAGCTGCAGAAAACGATGCATTTTTGTCATCTGACAGAACAAGACCTGTCATAAAAAGGTAGGCTGTGTGTCCTGTAGGTCGATGCAGTGCAGTCATCGTGTTATGCTGAAAATACTTGATCTAATTTATAACATTGATTGCCTTTGACCTCTGTTGTAATTTAAGTGCACTGCATCCTAGTGAAACTCTGCTGGAAAACATATCTTCCTCAACTGAGATGAGCAATTTGCATCAAGGTGAAGAACATGGTTTAACTGAAGTAAGTCTGCAATATTTCTGTATAATCAGTTTGTAACCAAATTTTCTGCTTTGTTTTGCACCTGTAATTAGTGCAGTTAAATTATATTTTGTATGATTAGATGCCAAACTCAGTAATGGAGCAAACTATGCTGATAGTAGTAAAAGCGGAGCCGTCAGATGTGGGCAATGAAAACACTGGCCAAGATCGAACAAGTGAAAACAGTGAGTTTATCATTTGTTTGTAACTCTACTTTTGTTTTTTGATTTTTTTTTACATTACGCTGATGAAGATTCTCAGTCATCCAGGACATGGTAAATCCCCCAAAAAGTTTAAAAACAAAACAACTGGACTTTATTTGTAACTGAAGACGTATCGCTTCTCATCCGAGGAGCTTTCTCAATTCAAAGAACAAGGAGTGTGGGATGCAAGTTATAAAGCAGAGATGTTATATAAGTTTGCATAATGCAGATTGACACATGCAGATTGACCTCTCACTCTTCACAATAGAGGATCGTTAGAGTCTTTGTTAATCCCAGCCACAGAGGGGCCATTCTAGTCACATGGTTGACATTCCTGATAGGTGTGAAACTGGCTGGGTATCAGTCCTTCAGTTACAAATAAAGTCCAGTTGTTTTGTTTTTAACCTTTTTTTTTTTTGATTTTTTTTTTTT